TGCAGTTAGAGCTCAGGTCTTGCTGGCCACTAGGAAAGCACAGTCTGAGCCTCAGCCATCTGTTTGAAGATTAGGCAGCCTCCACCTCTGCCAACTCCTCAACTTTAATGAAAATAGGGTTGGGTTTTTTTCCCATTAAAGCTCCTCCCAAGCTTAGATTCAAGAGCCTAACAGTACCATTTCAAAAATACCTCAGTGATTTGGGACCACAAGTCACAGCAATTTCATGCAGACACTGTGGTGTAGACTGATCACTGACCAACTCCTACTATGGAAAAATTTTGGCCACCATCCTTCCAAAAGATGGCAAGGAAAGGGCTCATCTCCAGAGAGACAGTGCAGCCTTGGAAAAAACATTTTAGTAATACTTTGTCATGCACAGCACCACTGCTGGAGTTGCTAGAACTCATTCCTCTGGGACATAAATTCTTCTCCTCAAAATGATATTTAAACTATATAGTCATTGTTTTTGAGCACAGTTCAAGACATTCCTTTTCCCTTAGCATATAAGCCTGTTTGACCTAAACCTAGGAGTTGTGAGAACTCTGAAGGACTTTTGGTAAGTGAGCCAAACTGTAAATGAAGAAATGTAATAAATTACTCTTTGAGTCAGGGAATGTCCACTACCTAAACTTCACATCTTAGTTTGGGTATCAAAACATCTCAGAAAATCCAAATTTAGCCTGGAACGCACTTGTATCTTTTGCGATAAACTTATTTCTTAATATCCGAGTTCTCTTAACATCTGCCCTAAAGTGGCCCTTCCTATATCATCTTAAAAAGAAAAAAACAAAATGAAAAAAAAAAAAAGCAAACACTGTCTTCCCAAAGTATTGATGGGATCTTTCAGCTGAAAGGGCCAACTGATGTTGGGTTGTAAAATTTTAACGTTTAATTTCAGGGTAGAAGAGAAACCCCACCCCTCCACCTTCCACAAAAGCTTCAGGAAAATGCTTCAAGACCAGTATTTGCTGCTAGCAAAAGGCTCATTGCACATAATCTCCCAGGGGAAGTCTCACAAGAGGAAAGGCTCTCCAAGACAAAGATCTCTCCCAACCAGCTGGAAAACAACACGCCTTCATTAATTTATTCAAGATACTGGGACTTTTGCAGAGCTATGCTACAGATTTGTGCAATACCCATATTGCAGACCTCTGGGTTCTAAGGAAAATATGAAAGAAGGGGTGGGTGGGAGAAGAAGCCTACAATGGAGAATTCTGATTTCTGATCTTGGACCTTTATTAGGGGAGGTCAGGACTCCCAGCATTGCACATCTGCTGTATCCAAGGGTAAGCGAGCACCCAGCTCCTTCATTTTCATACACAAATCCCCCTTTCTGAGAGGTGCTCTTGTTACTCACTGTACACCACAGGCAGCATTTGGCAGCCTCCAGCACACAGAGGCTGTTCCTGCCCAAACCAGCTCCTGGTCCTGATCACAGAGAACACAAGGTGCTCAGTGTTCACACACCTGTTCACAGCCCAAGAGCCCTGGTTGGTGATCAAAGCCCTTATCTCCCCCACATGCTTGCTATCAGCAACTGACAGCATGTGATCAGATCCAGGGCAAAAAACAGACTTGCACCTGAACACATTTTCCTATCACAACAGCCTTGACTTTTCCTCCTCAGCACAAGCCTAACCTAGACCACTGCTGAACAAACTCAATGATCTCCAAGGACCACACGAAAAATAAGTGCTGTTAATAAACTGTTTGATCAGTAAAGGACTTAGTACCTCTGGGATGATCAGGAAAAAATGTGGAATATAAAAATGATCACAGAAGAGAGGCTTGGTAGGGACTCCATTCCAGCTGAGCTGCTCCAACAGCTGGGAGCCATGAGTGCCTCAGATCAGAGGCTCTCAACACCACAGTGTGTTTCCAAGCAAGGGGTAAGGTGGGGGCAAGGCTGTATTTACTTACTGGCAGCACCCAGACCTGCTGACAGAGGGGGCCAGGAAACCAAGGCAGTGGGAGAAGCTGCCAGTCATGGCTCAGCAGGCAGGCATGGAGCTCTCACAGCACATCAGCCACCTCCATCAGGGCCTCAGCACAGCCAGGTTTGCTGCCAGGAGCCAGCACTGACCATCAGTAAACTACCACAAAGCTGCTCTCCTCAACCTACACCAAAGCACAGTCCTTCCCCAGAGCAATGAACACTGCAGCTTAACTTCCCTGCTCACCACCACCTTGAAAAATAAGTAGGACAACATGCTATCATCAGTTTTTCCTTTGTTGCTGCATTGGATTTTGTTGTTGCTTGTTTCTTGCTGCTCACCATCATCCTAGAAACAGCAGATACTGAACAGACAGAGCCAGCACCAGAGTAAGAGAGGGCCTAACACAGCCATGGGCCCCCTTGAAAGAGAAAGGGCAACCACCAAGAAGATAAGCTACAAGTATTTTAACTTCCACATGCACAAAGATCACATTAGAAAATACTCTGATATCAAGAAAAAAAAAAAATCCCCAACTTTTTATGCTATTTAAAAACTGTAAACACTTCCAAGGGAGCGAAAGGTGAGTAGAGGGTCAGTCAAACACCAAAAACCCTGAGTAACTTTAACAACACATATATATTTTGGCACACAAATTACCTCTCCAGACAGCTTCTGCAAGGTCTAAGCAGCTTAGCAAGCTTGTGAAAACCGAGAAAAATTGAAGTGGCTGTAAATTATGGTGTTATGAATCAGATAAACTTTTTCTAGCATGGCTACTGCTGTAATCCTGGACTTTGGCTTTGCCTGCAGCCCATCGCTAAAACCTTCCATCAGGCTGCTTGTTTACCTGCAAGGAAAGATGCCTTTGGGTTCAGATGTTAGTTTAGACTTCACACAGGCTCCCATCCCAAATCTACCACTTGTTTCCTGTTGTCATCCCACACCTCCACTTGCACAGGCAGGCTGTAAATACATCAGCAACCTACACCATGACAAGGGCCATAAAAATTAGAATACATGAATGCGAATCACTTCCTCCCCATTCTGCCCTAGGCCTGAGGTTTTGGGGCTTTTCCCCACCCCCCTCTTTCCTGGGAAATGTGATGAAGAAGGGTGGAGTGGCTCAGGCTATGTACAAATATTCAGACAGTCTCTTAGCAATAAATGGATCTCAGTCAGTTCTATTATCTGTCTGGCTGTGGCTCCTATTATCTGCTGTGAATTGTAGCAGCGATCTCTGGAACAGCATTCAGGCACCATCATTACTTCCACACCCTCCAAAGACTGCACTGTAACAAGGCATGCTGGATAGTACTTGCCATTAGAAGAGGGAACATAAAGGCTTCAAGCTATGACTAACACAGTAAAAGGCTCTGCATGGGGCTTTTACATTCATTGACCGGGGTTTGTTATTAAAGAAAATTCTAGGTTCAAAACCTAGACCTGCATTTTCTACAGCACGTCAGCTGACTTACACAAAAAGGTGATTTCATCCTGTTCTTGTTCACTTCCCCACTCCCCTCAGCTAAATCCTCATGGAAGGCTGCAGCTGGAGAGTGGGGAAGGCACAGCACAGACCTGCCTGGAGCTCACAGTCCACACATGGGGACCATAAGACCAAAGCAGTGAATTTGTTCAGCCCAAAGTGCCTGGGAGCCTGTGAGGCACCACAAATGCAAGCACCACAGGGAGCATCCAGCAATCCAGAGCTGAAAGCCTCCAAAGCAGCACTCACATGGCTCCTTGTTAGGAACAGGAGTTTTGGGATCCAAACCCACATTTTACTTCCTTGCGTTTCTCACAAGCCCTCCCATTTGTTTGAGGCCCATCAGAAAAGCCTGGATTGAAATCCAATCTCCTCCCCCAGGGTAGGATAAGGGTTTTAAGAGAAAAAAACTCTTAAGTCTCCCTCTCGTGCCAGCAAGGCAAGGCCACAAACATAAACTCCACCAAAACTCATTTTCTTATGGGTTTCTACCTGGCAATGGATTGGTTTCAGCTTCCCAGGCACAGAATCTCTGGACGGAGGCTTTCCTGAAACCGGGACATTTCAGAAACCTCCCTCTCCTACATAGCTTCCCTAATGCTTTCCTCACTTGGACACCTATTTCACAGCATGGCTTAATATCTTACTATTACCCATCATTCAGCATGGCTGAAAAATTAGTCATCAACCTAAGAAGTTATTAAGAAACACTTGATACTATGATTGCTTTCCTGTGTAATGAAGCAAAGGGATGAGGTAGGGGAGGGAAGGTGGGTCAAACCTTGCACTTACAGTCAGGAAGGCTTTCCCAGCAGAGGAACAGATCTCCTGGGGACTTCAGCCCACAGGAGAGCACCCAAGATCCCAGCTTGGCACAGCCCCTCCACCACTGATAGCCCAGAGGCAGCTGGCAGAGGCTGCCTTAAGTAGAGCTGCTGCTCCCCAGCAGCACCACCCATGGCTAATGTGCTCCAGATGAAAGTCATTCCTTGGCCAAAATTGCTCCCAGGCCTCAGCTGGGAATCGAGGCCCTTCTCCCTGCTCTGCCCTTGGGAATTGGGTCCAGGAGCAGGGCTGGCCCCTCTTCCATCTGTGCCCAGAGCAGGACAGGGACAGTAGCTGTTTCTGGAGCATCATGCCATGGGCTGTGATGCCCAGGGGAAGGTATGGGAGATGAGGGAAGGAGCACAAGGTGAGCTGCACAGGGTCCACTCAGGTTGGAGACTTGCAGCTACTGCCACCAGAAGCATCTCTTATCATATCTTGTGTACCCCAAGGCTTTGTTTAGGCAGAGTGGCCCAGTGCTGTATTCCTGCATCCTCAGATGGCTTCTGGCCACCCCAAAGTGCTGTCACAGGCCACCCTCTGCTCTTTCCAGCTCTCCTACCCAGTGTCCCGGGAGCTCCTCCAGCTCTGCAGATGGTGTGATGTGCAAGCCTGAGCTGGAGACAGTGAATGGCACTAGAAAAAGGGAAAAGTTATAATGGGAAGATAAGGGGGACAGCTGGGAGCATTGAAAAAGGGCATGGGATTGATCACAACCACAAAAAGCAGAGAAGAACAGAGTATCACACCTCTTCATGGCCATTTTCACATGCATAGTCAAGGCATCTCAGGGTGGAAGAAGACATAACCTGTTGAGGAAAAACAAGAACCAACAGCCTGTAAAAACATGGCATCTCCTTAGGCAAGATTTTTTTTTGTGAGGCAGAGCTGAGCTATTGTGTGTACCCGTTCAACCCCACCACCCTGAGAAGGCATTTGCTGGGAAGGGGCTGCCACTGGCTAAGAGTCCTCGTGCCCACAGCAGGGCTGGCTGGAACAGGCGGCTGAAAAGCTGCATTTTAAGTGGCTTTCTGTCAGGCAGTGCCAAATATTTGGGAGGATGTTTTGAGAAGGGAAAAAAAGAAAGAAAGAAAGACTCCCTCCAATTTTATGCTAATAAAAACATATTTGGTTTGTATACAGTTTATATGCTTCATAAAAGTGCTAATTACTCTCCCAAACAGAGGAGAAACAGAACAATTTTTTTGCATCCCACCCTTTCTCCTGCCTTACCCTCTTTACTTTTATGACGCAGCACTTATTTAAGTCGGAATAGTGCCCAGCTTATTCTGCCTTTCGCATGGTGCATCCTCACTTCTCTTCCCACTCATAACAAAAATAATAATAACTTGCAAATCTATGTCAGTGGAAATTTGGAAAAAGATTCTGAAGGGAAAAAAAAGTCTCCAAACATAAAGCACACAAGGACTCCAACAGTGCCCCCCCACACCCCTTTCCACAACTTTTTCCTTTGGTGCATACATTTTTCCAAGGTCACCTCGGAGGCTTTTCCTAGTTGGCTATTAAAACAAAAAAAACTCTGCCTGCCCCAAGAAGCACATGAAGCCATCACTGTGGCTTGGACTGTTTCCCTGTGTATGGATGCCATGGGAGAAGCAGCAGGGCGGGGGGGTTGAGCTGATATTTTTCCAAGACTTTTTCTCTCACCAGAGGAGGATGAAGATGGAGTGATGAGTGAGGTTCCGTTTGTCTGGCAGCATGAGTCACTCAGCAGCAGTTTCCGATACACACTTTTTTCTTTTTTTCTTTCCATTACAGAAATTGGTGTCATTTATTCCTTCCTCCTTCTCAAGTAAAAAATAATAATAATAATAAATCCTGCTACCGTTATGTCTAATTTATTCTGGGAACTTGTCTGAGGACCCACCAAACCTGGGGGGAAGGGTGATTTGAAGCACAATCCAAAATATAATCGGCTCTGGAAGCTTTTAAAGAGACTCCTTTAAGGCTGTGCCAAACCTTAAAGAAGGAAAATACTTCCACTAAATCCCTCCCACCATGAATGGGATCCTGTATGTCTGAGGCTTTTTATTGGCTGGGTGGTTTTGGGTTGTTGGTTGGTTGTTTTTTTTATATCAAAGATGTTACTCTTTCAAATAGGGTCTGAGCTCTGTGGCTTTTCAGCAGGCAGTGAATTCTTGCTCCTCGGGCATGCAGTGATCTGACACAGCCCTCCCCCACGCTGGGTCGGGTTCTCATGCTAAGATCTGGCTCCTGGAGCTTGAGCTGTTGTTTTTTTCTGGAAGCTGTTTTTTCCCCTTCTTCACCCTTTAAAAGCAAAACTAAACAGAGCTAAGCCTTTTTTTTTTTTTTTTTTTAAAGCCTCTCAGGGCCCAGAAACCCAGCCTGACCTCCTTACTCCTGAAATATCAAAATATTCCCACTGTCTGCAGGCAAACGCTGGTGCTACTGCTGGTGCTCCACCAGCCCCCCTGCATCCAGCCAGAACCAGGGGTGAGGCAGGCAGAGAACATGAATAAGACATCACAGCTGTAGTCAAGACCACCCAATCAATGGTGTTAGGAGTGATGTGTGAGCATAGCCAGGCTTCCTCTTATTTACCCATAAATGAACTCCCTTAGGTCATGCTCCAGGTCCCCAACACACCAAACCCAAACTGTGCCCCTGCTGTGACTCACCTGTGTGGCAGAGCTGAGGCAGGCTTTAGATGGGTACAATGCTACTACTACTAATAATAAACCAGTCTCCTGCATTACCAGAGAGCAAGGATGACTGCAGAGCCTAAGTTTAATTATTTTGATGGAAGAGTATCTCAGGGAGTAATGGAAATACTGTTGTATTTTATCTAGAGCTGGAGGTCCTGCTGCCCTATAGCTCTTTCTTTCATGTATATCCAGGTCTGGAAATGCATACCACTGTAATTTGTGTTTTACAAGGAACAGCATTAATAAGCCCCACAGCCTGTGGTTGTTTATTCTCTTAGATGCCCCATTTCACCTCTGCCCAAGACTCAGCTCTACCAATCCACCCTGTTCTGACAGGGTAAAAGAAAAATTCAGCAGCAGGGGAAAGCAGTGCTCTAGGAGCAGAAATCTCCTTCCTGAGTTCAAAAGGCACAGGGAAAAGGCTGCAGGGAGAATGCCTGGATATTGGGTTGGAGTGAACCACACTTTGTCTGAAAGCAGGCATATGGCTAAGAAAGGTCCTTTCTCCATTGGCTAGGAGGTCAGGGATCTCAAGGCATCCTGCCCACAACAGCCTCATTCTTTACATGCCACGAGCAACTTCTCTTCTGCATTTCAAGTTCTGCTGTGGTGCAATGTCACCCAAAACTGGTACGGCCCATCTTTGTACCAGCAGCTCCTCTGGTACAGACTGGAAGGTCAGGAAGGAGCTCTGGCCCCATGGGAGCATCTCCTGTTTAATTATCACGCTTCTGCTAGGGGACAGCTGCAGTTCAAACATTCCATGGCTCTTCCTGCTCCTTCCCCTGGAGGAGCACGAGCCCTTGGGCTGCCCCAGAAGGAGGTGGCTGTATCCAAACTCCCCTCTCTGAACACGGGGTGAGCCCAGAGAGTTGGGCTGCTCCTTCCCTGGCTCCCAGCGTGTCCCAGCTGGCTGGGTGTCCTCAGCCAGGCTCGTGCCAGGCTGACCACCCTGCCCTCCCTCTTTTCTGCTTGGCCACTCTTACAACACTCGGCTGTTTGGGCGCACAAAGCGTCCTGGAGACCCCACAGAAATACTCCCCCTCAGCTCTGATTTCCTGTTTACAATGACATCTTGGGATCTGCTTCCAAGCCAGTGTTTAATCCTTTTACTCTGTCACATTGATTTTGAATCATTCTAGTTTAAGTGTTATGAGTACCAAGACAAATATTTTTTATGAGTCTCAAACCACAAGTATCTTTTTTTGACCTTATTTTTAATTTCATCCCAAATAATCCCAAATTTAGCTTGACAGGGTCCGTCTTCCACAAGGTACCAGAGGCTGCCTGATTAAGACCCAGCCTCATGAAAGCAGATATTTAATCAAATTTCAAGGCAACTCTGAAAGGAATAGGTTCAGACCTCTGACCTCACAGTAAAAAACGTACATAACCCCCTTTGGGAATGCAACACAAACTGTTCTGTAGGGAGATTGTGCTCATGAATCTTTACTTTCCTTATGTTAGTTTTCAGTAGCTGCCAGGCATGACTGGCATTTCCCAAACACAGGCAAACATTATTTATTAAAGGAAATTGAAGTCCCCTCCCTGAACAGCCAGAGGATCCTCAGTCTAGGGCACAACCCCAGAGAAATCCAGAGCACGGGGGCACTGCAGGCTCTGGGCACTGCCTGATCCATCTATGGATCTGTGGCTCCCTGCAGCTCAAGACAAGTTCAATGAAAACTGAATGGTCATGTTTCTATGCACAGGAATACCATTTTCTGTACAGGCAGCTTGCAGCAGAAAGCTCAGTGTGTTTTTCTTCCCCTTTTTGACCAGCATGACCCAGCAGAATGTGTTTGCTGAATGTGAGGGAACCCAACTTAAACATTGTAAGTTAAAAGGAAGAAAAATAAGTCAACCTCACATCAGGTTTTTTGTGCCAAACCTCACCATATAGAGATGTGCAATTATGGAATTGCTAGAAAGAGGAGTGGATAAAGGTTACATGGGACTCTGAAGAGCCTCATGAAAGGATACAGGGTCATAACCAAAAGACCCACTGAGTGGGGAAAAAACCCCACAGTATCCAGTTTCAGATAGCAATCAAAATCTGAGCTCTCAAATACATATGATAAAGAAGGTATCCACAAACAGTATGTGCCAGCATGGGGTTTTCAAGCACTGATTATACCCGGAGGCAGTGGTCCCTGTGTGCCTTGCTATAGATTGGTGTTGCTGGCATGAGCCTGCTTATTCATTCCCAGGAAAAAATATGTTCTTTTAGAGCAGCGTGCTCTAATATAAATTTCTCTGGCCTTCTCCTAAAATGTCAGCACTTCTGGTCAACTGCTCAATATCATCAAGAGAAAGCTGGAACCTCTCCCTGCTCGAGAGCCCACATCTCATCTCCCACAAGGCCCTGAGACAGGCAGGATTTCTTCAGCCTTCATTGCATTCCAATGTGCTCACTCACACAGGTTTGTGACCTTTATCAGGGTCGTGTTTTTCTTTTTTTATTTTTGTCCTGGTCCTTGCAAACCCTAATTATGAATCCAAGGTCGTTATCAGTGATGTCAATTATGCAATGGCTGAGCAGCTGCTCCCCCTGTTGCTGGCCTAATAGTGCCATGTTGAAGGAGACAGCAGAATTTCTTGTGCCGTTTAAAATTTGCCATATCATGAGTTTCCTTTCAATTGCAAAAGCAGAAAAACAGCTTGAGTACTTTTCCTCCTACATCTTTACTTCAAGCTGCTTTTACAGTCCTCAGTACATCTTTCAGCATCTCATGCCTTAAATACATATCCCAAGGGTAATAAAGAGGAATTTAAAAAGACCAATTTTTCCCAGATGGTACCTAAAGTCGTCTGTGAACACAATGATAGGAACTGCTTTAAAATAAACTCCACTGGAGGATTCTGGCTATGGGAGTACAGGGCAAGTGGCCATTCACATGTTACAAAGTGCTGTACTGGGTACTAAAATACAACAGCTTCAGGGTGAGAACATGGAGGCAGCTCACTCAGTAGAGAAGAGCAGATTTAGCACACCACTGAAAGGAAAGGGGGCTGCCTTTCTTCGCCTTCATAGATTTTATAACAGTTTAGATAACTAGAAGGAGGTAGCCCCAACAGCAAACTATCAGTTATCAGTGATTTCCTCCTCTGTGTGCAGGGTGAGGAGTGTGGTGTGCCACATCCCACCACGTAGGAAGTGTTAACAAGCACTTGCTTTTTCATGGCAGGCGTCTGGTAGTGAATATGAAAAGAGACCCAACTCTTCCCCTTTCACATATATTGCATATTTTTTCCTTCTTCGTCATCTTGGAAGATAAAAGAAGGTGTCTGGATTCACACGAGGTGGCCTCCTTTGTGACTTGCCTCACAATGTCACAAACACCAGCACCAGTGGGAAACACACATTTGCCAAATTTGAAGTTTGGCTGTAGAAGAAATCCATTTCAGTGCCTCTTTTAAATAAAGCAATGCTAACAGGATGTTGTATAGAGGAACACAGCTGTCCTTTAGTCTGCACATCAACTGTTCATAAATGGGTATCTGTTAGTGAGGAGCTACTGGGCTCCTCTCCCTCTCACCTCCTTCCTTCCCATTCCCAACTTCTACCTTGCAAAACTCCTACTGGAGCCAGACTAGAGCTCTTCCTTGTTCAGCACTAATCCCAACAAGGAAAACCAATGGTCCAATTTATCATCTTGTTGATTCTTACACAATCCTATCTCTGTCCCAGTGTTTGCTCTGCCCCTTCTTATTGCATTAACGAGGTTGGAAAGCAAATTAAAAAACCATGCCATTGTCAGTGCAGCCAGAAGCTATGACTCAGAAAACACAGAGCCTGCAGATCTGGTGAGTAAGATGGAGCTTTTTCTCCCCACACCCCACACTTTTTTTTAAAATAATCTCATTAGAAAAATAGAAAGACTTCAAAGAATTTGACTCTTTCTCAAAATTACTGTATGATTAAGGATTTCTGGTGGAGCCACCTTTTCAGCTAACTCCAATGACAGGCGAGGCTCTCCAGGCTGCCAGCTTTGCATGGTCTGAGCAGCTCCAGAAGCTGGAATACCTCCTGATGATGCCCTTAGGGTTTGTGCATCTGGGCTTTAACCATGCAAGATCCAGAACTCTCAATGCCTTCAGACTTTGAGAACTTCCTGCT